TGATACACATGCAGCGTGTTTGAATGTCCAATTGTGACTAAAGCGAATTGTGGTCATGCACCACAATTTAAGCGGATCACTTTTGAGCCGCGAGTGCCGTATCTTCCCTTTTTGTTTCCATCTAAGTAGCAACATATATTTGTCTCTTACGTGATTGAATAAACTATAACCGCTTAATTGCAAAACGTAGACTAAAGTTAAACCTGGACTTAAACTGATGCTGTCACTCTTGTTTGCTAAAAGGAAGCCAGAGACAACATTAGATTTAAACCAAGACTTACACCCATATTCTTAATCGCGTCCTCAAACGTTCCTCGACTCAAACTCATTCGAGGGCTCCTTAAGGAGTTCCTCCAAATAACCTCGAAAATAGTATTCTAGTTGGTATCTTGAACAAACTTGAGAATTCCTCCACTGAGAATTCCTCAACATTGTGACGTCATCATTTGGAGGATTTTATTTCTATAATGGTTAACAGAGGAAATATTACTTGTATGACTGTATCTTTTCTAAACCGAAATCTTCTTTGAAACGAATCATTGTCGTAAACCTTAAAAGGATTTGCGGCATCACGTAAATACCGTCGCGCCGGAAAATTATATGGTTAATCATCGTGTATGTGTTACTGAATAAATAAATAAATAAATCGTATACGTAATACATAAAATCCACAAATTCGTCAATAATTTCAAAATCAGACATAAAACTTGAAAACACCTTAAACACCACCCGAGGAAGCCTTAAGGTACGTCGAGAGCTACCTTGAGTTTGACAGTTTATTCCTCGACTCGACCTCCACTCGAGTGAGGAATATCTCAAGTGAAGGATATTTTTGTTGTCTAAGCATACGAATTTCCTCCAATGAGGTTGAGTCGAGTGGAAAAAATCTCGAGGAAACGACTAAGAATATGGGTGTAACTTTAGACCGCATTTTGGAATAGGATGATATGAGTTGAATATAAATCGTTTTATGCTTTGGTTCTTGATACTGAGGGTAGTTTATGTTATTAACAGGCTTGCTATAAGTCGCGTGCGCAGAAGTAAAAATGAAGATGTGTTGGGGGCAAACGAGGTGCGCGGGTGGGCGTGCGTTGCGCCGATTGGCTCTGCAGTCCAGTGTTGCCAGACGTCGCGATTTTTAAATCAAAATTTAATGTCCCGCGCGGGACAGGCTCAATCGTTTCGACAGGCTCAATTCGGGAAAAATTCGACCGTAATGAAGATAAATATTCAATAACTTTTGATTATCTACGTTTTTCATATGTAAGGGTACGGCCAGAGTGCACTCAGATTCAGACTCGGAAAACAAGCGCGAGAAATAAACAGTGTAGTTAAAGCAGGGTGGCCATAGTGGCAGCCTGCTTAAACTGCACTGTATATTTCTCGCGCTTGTTTTCTGAGTCTGAATCTGAATCTGAGTGCACTCTGGCCGTACCCTAACATCTTTCCTCTCGCTTTCCTGCAATTTGTGGGAGTGATTTCGTGAAATGGGACGGAAGTGTGTAACGGGAAGTCGCGAAAGCGCGCGTTTTTTGATTTGATTTTAGAACATATTGTTCAAATGGCTTATTCCTTTTGTAGTAGGTTTTATTTCTTTATTTACTTAAATAAGGTGAGGTTTCAAAAGTTACACATCATACGCGACTACTGTAAGGCTAGCTCGTTTTTTTTACTGTGTCGCTCTTTCGACGAAGTCGACGACTTCCACTTCAGCTAGTCTCGACATTTTGGCAGTGTTGCAAGCGTGATGAACACGGAATTACCGAAGTAATTGCGGGTGGGATGTTATTGGCAGACATAACGATCTACCCTCCGACGAAAATTAAGTCAACTGATTGTCTTTTTAATTTCACGAGGTTGATATTGTGTAATAATGGTAATAGTGATGATTAAAGAACATTTAAAATGAGCTTTTTCCCGTAAATTCTGTTGTGTTCAAATATTAATTTCCAGTAGCTGTAATTTTATACATGACAATTAGAAACTGCAAAATACCATTAATCTATTTTTATAGAATGTCTTTAAAATTTAGAATTTTTATTCAAAAAAATTTTGACTACAAAAATCTATATAACATTATTATACCATCTCCTGTTTAGTATGAAATCAATTCATTGATGATACCTTCAGCTTTTATCAAAGATTAAATAAAGTGTGAATTTCTCATAAGTATGTAAGTTAAAGGAATACTTAAGTTACTTATACAATAGTTATGTTTAGAGGTAAGTATTGTTACGTTAATACCGTTCAAAAGGGATCTTTATAAACGCTAAGTCACTGATTCTAATATTTTGGAAGTGAAACTTCTTTACGCACGCTTGACTTGGGGGGTAAGCTGGCAATTGCGTTACACGTTACGAAAAGTGTGTTCGGGCGAAGCGAACGGCAGTTGAGTGGGGGATATATATATAAGCAAGAGAAAGCAGTGCGCGCGCATATTTTCTCTTTCTCTCTTTCTCTTATAGCTAGTAAATGAAATATGTACATACATGTATATATTGTATATATATACAGATAGAGCTAAAGAAGTTTCACTTCAGTCGTGTGGACATAAGCATACTCGTTTTTTCCCTGCCTTTCAAGCCTTTCGCCATTCAAAGATCCTTCCCGAATTTTCGTGTGTAAAATGCCTCATATTAAAAAAAAGCGTTTTGTGAAGAAAATCTACGATTTATACTAAATATAACGAGATCTACCAAGATTAATCTCTCAGGAGTCGCCTCTTACAAGGCACGAGACACACTAAAGCTACATAAATGCAATTATTATTATGGCTGTATCACAAAATCGCGTTTAAGGTCCGACACAAATTTGAATGCGTTTCTTTAACTATATACAGGGTGTAAAAAATCCTTTTACGAAGTCGAAGGCGACGCATTTTCCACATCATGATGATATTTTTTTTGTTCTGGACCACACCTGGGAAATTTATGGTTATGGAGATATTGAAGGTCAAAGTCATATTTTTTTTTCAAGATTTATACATTAATATTTGTTTATTAGATTTTCACGCACATCACTCAGTTATATTTAATAAACTAGTTTTACGGGTTAATGCACGAAACTTTATTTATTTATTGACGTTTCGCAGCCTTTCGGCAGCGTTCGGTTATTTCATTGGAAGATTTTTAAATTTTTTATTTTCTATGTATGAATTTATTAGTTAATTTAGTTAATAAATTACTTTATTTAAAATTCTTTTTTTTATTTTTGAGTTTATTTATTTGACCCTAACTACCGTAAACTACCACCGGTTCCAAAATTGGGAGACCTTTCTGAGAAGAACCGGCGAAACAAACTCTGAGAGGCTTTGAGAGGCTTTAAGAATAAGAAGGAAATAAAAAGTCTCTCTGAGTTTGTTTCGCCGGTTCTTCTCAGAAAGGTTCTCAATACTAGGTCTCAATAAAAGTCTTTCGAAGGTAGCTCGACAAAATTAAATATAAAAAAATCATTATTCTGACGATGCAGAACTGAAAAGGCTGCGAAACGTCAATAAATAAATAAAGTTTCGTGCATCAACCCGTTTAAACTAGTTTTATTTATACATTAATATTTTCAAAACATTATTTAGAAAATTTTTCGTCGACGCACTTACACACAGGCACATTCTTTGCGTGGCGCCACAGTAGCGCGCCACGCTGTACATTGTGTACTGGAAAAAAAATTGTATTTTTTTAACTTATAAATACAAATGTTTCCCACGTATAATATTTTGTAATAACACTTGTTTGGGTGTACAGAATGCGTAGTTTTAGTCTTTAACATAGGTTTTTTTAACACCCTGTATAAACATTAATCGCAGCCTTATTTTGACTCCTTTTAATTACATTTGTAACTAAATAGTTACTACACTGGACAGCAAATACCTACATCGGTACCTTTAGCATGAACCAATATCGAATTCGAATAGTTTGCGAGTGGGAAATGTCAAATTTTGTAACGAGAACTAAAAATCAGTACACATCCTCCTTTTTAGTTCGTCCATTGTGGCGCTGCTGTTCAAGTTTCCATACAAAATTTGACATTGACATTTCGCTCTCGTAACACGTATCGAATTCGAAAATTCGTATTTTATTTGCGGTCGCGTGTTTTTGTTAAGGTTTGCTTTCTATTGAGTAAAACAAAAATTAGTATACACGGAGCACACATCTGAAGTGAAACTTCTTTTTCTTCAATAGCCTAACATTAGGCGGCGCATAAGGTATAGGGGAATAGAGCAGCGCACGCATCACTCATATGTATGTATATACAGGGTGGTCCAACTAGTGACGTCAACAAATTTTTTTTAGATTCCTCGCACCTACCTGGGTGTATCCGAAAATACCCCATGTATGTTCCGCGATTTTTCTTAGTTTTCGAGTTATATTTTTTTTTGTGTATTTTTAATGATTTCTGCCAGCAAGGTTTCAAAAATTCTTATCTTTTTTCGTAGTAGATATTTTGCAGTCTATTTTTTTGTGACATGTCTTGAATGTTGTTTTAATACAAAAAATAACTCAGCTTCCTGCAATTACTTAAAGTAACTCAGAAAAGCCTTGAAAGTTGGATCTTTAGTTTTTAGTAGGATTTACTCAAACATTCAACTTCAATTTAGAAGTACAAAAAGGAGTTCCCATAGGTTCTCGCTAAAATTAAAAACTCCGCATGCTTCTAAACTACCAAAAATCATAAAAAAAATGTACTTAATCAGCCTATTTTTGTTGTAATTGGCTTTTGAAGGCGGATAGGCTAAAAATCATTGAAACATGATTAAAGCATTAAAAATTATTTTATTTTCTTACAGAAGCGGAATGAAAAATAAAGCAAGAATTTTCAAGTAGCTTCAGACAATTAAAAAATAACTTTTTAAGACATTGTCAATTGTCTATTCAAGTTGGAGGAAGGAGTTTTGAAAATTTACTATAATAAAAAGCAATTTTTCAGTAATTTGTGGTTTTTATTTGTATCAAAAAACAGGTAATTTCCCAACTAGCCATTTTGATCTTTATTCTTGCTCACATTTTAAATCTTAGTGGTGACACCGAAATTATTATAAAATTCAACATGCTAAAGTTATTTTACAAAAATTTCAATTAATTTTTGGTAGTTTAGAAGCATGCGGAGTTTTTAATTTTAGCCAGAAGCTATGGAAACTCCTTTTTGTATTTTCGTATTGAAGTTCAAGGTTTGAGTAAATCCTACTAAAAACTAAAGATCCAACTTTCAAGTCTTTTTGAGTAACTTTAAGTAATTGCAGGAAGTTGAGTTACTTTATTATTAAAACAACAGTCAAGACAATTATGGCACAAAAAAAAAGACTGCAAAATATCTACTACGAAAAATGATATGGGGTGTTTTCGGATACCCCCAGGTGCGAGGAATCTAAAAAAAATTGTTGACGTCACTAGTTGGTCCACCCTGTACATACATATACATATTTTCACGTGTGACGCTGGTAGTGTTTCAGCCTTCGCCGATTTCATGCTCGTCGCGAAGAACTGCGCACACATCCCACACACACACACATATATATAGTCGTGTGACGCTCGTGTCGCATTTCCGTTTCATCTTTTCCATTTACACCTCCTCAGAAAGAAGTTTCACTTCAAAAATCTATTCAAACTCGGATCCCATTTAAGAAAATTCTTCACAAAGTCTATATTTACAAAGAAATCCATTTAAAATAATATTTAGACCTTAAGCTGAGTTTTGTGGTGAGCCAATAAGTGTCGAGACGTTATTACAGACACACATTAATATATAAATATAGTTAGTTATACATTAATATTATTGTGATGATTACCAACAGTTTGTATATGTTACAAAAATACTATATTACTGGCCTAATTTGTTACATAGCAACACTGAAAGGCGCGCTCCAGTCTTTTAGATTGTTTTAAAACTGGAATGCATTATAATTATTATTACATATAATAGGTATAAATGTTCTGGCACTAGAAAAATGTATAAATATTTAAAAACTGATAAATTAAAAAACACTGACGAATTGAGACACTTCTCCTTTTCGAAGTCGGTTGAAAACTGGTTGATGACGGAAATTAAAAATAAAATAACCTTATATTTTTGTATTAAAAATACAACTAAACCTTACTTTTTCAGTTAAAAGATTTTCCTAATAAAATAGAATACGCGTATTCATGATCGTTCCAAATTAAAATAATATTTGTACTAAAATTATTATAATTACTACCATTTTAGTAGTGTTTACATAATCCTTAAAAATTATCTCTCATTTTTGTTTATCACACTTTATGTATATATAGGTTTTGAATCAATAAATTAGAAATGATATGGAATACGAAATGCGGTAAAAAGTGGGTCAACGCAAACTGCGTTCAAATGGGCGGGGCGAAAAAATGCGATCAACACGCCGATCACGGGATTGGTTGAGATTTCCGTTTAACATTATGTTATCCAATGAACGGATAGCCGAATTCATTTGCAGATATTTGATTTGTTAAAATTATGTTGTTTTCTCTCCATGTTTTCGCTTTTTATTTAGAAAGTTATGCTTCCATATCATTTATAATTTGTAGGTTTTAAATAATAATTTGATCAGCATATAATTCCTACATAACTATAAAACACGGTCTGCAGTCTGTTTTTTGATCAAAAACAATAAAATACTATTAACTGTATAATCAAATTAATATTAAATAAAATGTAAAGTTATTTATAATTCTAAGCTTAAAACTTATGAGCCAGAACTACAAGGCGTACCTTAAAACCTACTTAAAAGCTCCTAAAACTACTATACAATGTTGGTAATTAAAATCTACTGAAGTAACAATGTTGGCAGATTTATTGCAAAGAAATTACTAAAAACTTTTTGGGCATTTCATTGAACTATGTGCTAAACCAGGGGCAGTAGGCATACCTTCAAATGATTATACAATGTTGCCAGTTGAAAATTACTGAAAAAATCAAATAGCTTGATCTGTTGCCAGGTCCATTGCTAATTGGACAATTAACCAAATTAATATTTACTCTATCAGCTGCTTACAAATGGCTCAAGACACGCGTCTACTCATTAACAGTTCAGCTATACATTTTTATCAGTTAGAAACTACTAAAGTTACAATGTTGCCAGGTCCACTGTTGAGAAACTACCAAAATGTAACAACGTTGCCAGGTTAACTGCTGAAAAAACTACCAGAATGCAACTTACTGTTGTCTTCATTAGCTGTTTGGCATTCCGTCGAGCCATGTACCAAACCAGTTGTAATTGTACATGGCGGCGTAGGGATGTTTCCGTTTCTTGTGCAAACGGAGTGACTCTTCTGATGCGTACCAATACTGAGGGAACTTGTCGAATGGGTATTTGAGGGACTCTTTCACGTGCGGCTCCGACGGGTCAGCTGCCAGAAAACGAACATCCTTATTAATTCTAAAGAAAAGTTTTAAAAAAGAAAGTGTTTTTTTAGCAGTTAAATGCTTAAAAATATCAAAACATAATCCTTATCTATTTATAAAAAAAACACATCTACAAAACCCTATTCTAATTAGCCTATCAGTTATATTATCGAAAAATATAAAACATATTTTTAAATCTAAATAAAATGTTATTAGAAAAAAATCTACCTAAACCAGGCAGCAGTGGGTTACCTACAATGCGAAGAGATGGCGCTGCCTCGCAGCCTAAGAAATCTATATATATATATATAAAACTCAAAGGTGACGACTGACATAGTGATCTATCAACGCACAGCCCAAACCACTGGACGGATCGGGCTGAAATCTGGCATGCAGGTAGATGTTATGACGTAGCCATCCGCTAAGAAAGGATTTTGATCAATTCTACCCCCAAGGGGATAAAATAGGGAATGAAAGTTTGTATGAAACTTTGTCATTTTTAAACCGATCGGTCTGAGACTTCGCATAAAGGTATAAGAAGAATCATAGATGAATGTCACTGTGTATAATACAAGCCTGAGAACAAAAACTGTAGTCTACACTTCAGCTCTACACCGAAGCGAAGCGAGGGCGGGCCGCTAGTGGTAGATAAAATTCGACACGGCCATTAGGGCCGCGGTAGCATAGTGGTTAGTGCATTTGCCCGAATAGCAGAGAATGCGGGTTCCAGTCTCGTCTACTACCTGGTCCGCCTAGAAGATTTTCTGATAACATTAACTTTAGTTTAAACTTTTAGCATTTAAATGCTTATAACATATAAATCCGCTCATTTTTATTTTGTCAATGAACAGAAGCTTTATCCCATTGGAAAATGTCAAAACGTCAATTTCAATTTGACATATCGTAGGGGCTACATAATAGTACATATTAGTTAAATTAAGATTTAGAAAAAATACTAACTATAATTTTTATTTTTTAAGCACATAACTGCTTGATGTTTAAATCTAAAGAAAATATAACTAGAAAAAATTCCACGCGGGCCAGGCAGCAGGCGGGGCTCGCACCAGCACCCTTCGCTATCCGGGCGAATGCACTGACCAATTATGCTACCGCGGCCCTGATGGCCGCGCCGAAATTTATCTAGCCATTCTTAAGCTGCAAGGCAGCGCCATCTCCTCGGCTTGTAGGTAACCCAAAATTACTAACTTTCAAAATTTTCGGTTCCATTGGCTGTGAGAACTTTTGCGGTTGTTGAAGGAACGTTGAAGAACGTTGAAAACGTTGAAGTTAAGCAACTTTCGCAATGGTCAGTCAATGGATGGGTGACCAAAATTTTCTATCTCGAGTTCCTCCGTGCTTCGGAAGGCACGATAAGCCGTTGGTCCCGTCCGTACGATCCCGAGATGCTGTTTTCTATGAAAAAAATATCTTAAAATCGTAGTCGCGAGAGTTGACAGCGATCTATTAATACCTACGGGCCTAAGACACAATTGATTTTTTTACGAGACGAATTTCGAAAAAAAAGGAGATTGCTCAGCTTCCATACATGTTTGGCCTAAAGACCAATAATCATGAAAAATTGTTTCCTAGATTCGAAATTATATATAAATTACTGTAGAAACGAATATTATTGACGGACACCCCTGAGAACTTCTATAAACCATAAATACACTGAACATATTAAAATAATAAAAAACAAATAAGTTATATAGTAAACTAGAGAAATCAAGCCAAGTATCGAAATTATGGATTAGATTCAGGTATATAGAGCATGTAGATTAACAGATAGTTGCCTGTTTTTAAAGTTAATGCATAAGAGTAACTTATAAAATCAGGTGTCATTTATGCATTTCCGGTTATAATAAGGTACTCTGTGACAGAAACTGTGTGATGATTGTGAATGAGCCACAGACTAGAGAGAATTTTTAAACTCTCGTTAACCAAAGAAAGCTAAGAGATTTAGGTTATATAGCCATATATTCAGTAGCTTCATTATTTTTGTTATGTTTTTAATATAACCGTATTTTAGATTTTTGGTGTATCACACCTTATAATTTTATTTATTTATTTATTTATAGTCAGGCAACGTAGGCCCATAGATAGATAAATAAAGTCTAACATATATACAGATTATAATGTGTTTATGGAGGTGTTTGGCGAAAAATGTATGGCAATAGACTTTATGATGTCGCCTACCATCTATAATAATTGTCTGAGCACATTTGCATGTAGTGAAAATGATAATATAGTTGTGGATATTAATACCATAGTGTAATAAAAAAAAAAGATTTATTTTATCGATCTTTACAAAATAGATTTGTTTTTATGTTATATAAACAACTTCGATCAGTCTTTGGCTGAATGTTACTACACCCATAGCCATTAAAAATGATTCGTATGTTTTCCAAACCGGTAAAATTAAAAGTCCTTTTTAAAGTAAAAATATTATACAAAGGTGTCCGTTGAAATCTAATGACTGTAAATTAAAATTATAAATTACGCCAAGAATTACCGTGTATGTCAATATTTTTTGTGCGTTTGGGCCAATTTGAGCAATCTCCTTTAACTGTCTGCTTTCCAGAGATACGAAAATACATAAATTCGAATATCGACCCTAATGTCTCGCAATGTTTGTATGAAAATCAACTTTAATGGGATCAGTAACCATTCGTGCTAAAATTCAATATTACTCACCAGGCGGCAGACAGTACAGACAGAATATCCTATGCCTCTTCCCTTCATGCGTCTCCAGATGCTTTTTGTGATGCTTGCGACGCGTCGACACGTGCGGACAACAGGGGCACGGTATCGCGAGCTCGCGGGGCACGCTGCCGTGACGCTCGGCCGCGTGGGCCAGCAATGTGGACACTACGCGGTAACCCTACACACGGGATATGTTGATATATATAGCGCGGACAACAGGGGCACGGTGTCATTAGCTCGCAGGGCACGCTGCCGTGACGCTCGGCCGCGTGGGCCAGCAATGTGGACACTACGCGGTAACCCTACACACGGGATATGTTGATATATATAGCGCGGACAACAGGGGCACGGTGTCATTAGCTCGCAGGGCACGCTGCCGTGACGCTCGGCCGCGTGGGCCAGCAATGTGGACACTACGCGGTAACCCTACACACGGGATATGTTGATATATATAGCGCGGACAACAGGGGCACGGTGTCATTAGCTCGCGGGGCACGCTGCCGTGACGCTCGGCCGCGTGGGCCAGCAATGTGGACACTACGCGGTAACCCTACACACGGGATATGTTGATATATATAGCGCGGACAACAGGGGCACGGTGTCATTAGCTCGCGGGGCACGCTGCCGTGACGCTCGGCCGCGTGGGCCAGCAATGTGGACACTACGCGGTAACCCTACACACGGGATATGTTGATATATATAGCGCGGACAACAGGGGCACGGTGTCATTAGCTCACGGGGCCCGGTGTCATTAGCTCGCGGGGCACGCTGCCGTGACGCTCGGCCGCGTGGGCCAGCAATGTGGACACTACGCGGTAACCCTACACACGGGATATGTTGATATATATAGCGCGGACAACAGGGGCACGGTGTCATTAGCTCGCGGGGCACGCTGCCGTGACGCTCGGCCGCGTGGGCCAGCAATGTGGACACTACGCGGTAACCCTACACACGGGATATGTTGATATATATAGCGCGGACAACAGGGGCACGGTGTCATTAGCTCGCGGGGCACGCTGCCGTGGCGCTCGGCCGCGTGGGCCAGCAATGTGGACACTACGCGGTAACCCTACACACGGGATATGTTGATATATATAGCGCGGACAACAGGGGCACGGTGTCATTAGCTCACGGGGCCCGGTGTCATTAGCTCGCGGGGCACGCTGCCGTGACGCTCGGCCGCGTAGGCCAGCAATGTGGACACTACGCGGTAACCCTACACACGGGATATGTTGATATATATAGCGCGGACAACAGGGGCACGGTGTCATTAGCTCGCGGGGCACGCTGCCGTGACGCTCGGCCGCGTGGGCCAGCAATGTGGACTCTACGCGGTGACCCTACACACGGGATATGTTGATATATATAGCGCGGACAACAGGGGCACGGTGTCATTAGCTCGCGGGGCACGCTGCCGTGACGCTCGGCCGCGTGGGCCAGCAATGTGGACACTACGCGGTAACCCTACACACGGGATATGTTGATATATATAGCGCGGACAACAGGGGCACGGTGTCATTAGCTCGCGGGGCACGCTGCCGTGACGCTCGGCCGCGTGGGCCAGCAATGTGGACACTACGCGGTGACCCTACACACGGGATATGTTGATATATATAGCGCGGACAACAGGGGCACGGTGTCATTAGCTCGCGGGGCACGCTGCCGTGGCGCTCGGCCGCGTGGGCCAGCAATGTGGACACTACGCGGTAACCCTACACACGGGATATGTTGATATATATAGCGCGGACAACAGGGGCACGGTGTCATTAGCTCACGGGGCCCGGTGTCATTAGCTCGCGGGGCACGCTGCCGTGACGCTCGGCCGCGTGGGCCAGCAATGTGGACACTACGCGGTAACCCTACACACGGGATATATTGATATATATAGCGCGGACAACAGGGGCACGGTGTCATTAGCTCGCGGGGCACGCTGCCGTGGCGCTCGGCCGCGTGGGCCAGCAATGTGGACACTACGCGGTAACCCTACACACGGGATATGTTGATATATATAGCGCGGACAACAGGGGCACGGTGTCATTAGCTCGCGGGGCACGCTGCCGTGACGCTCGGCCGCGTGGGCCAGCAATGTGGACACTACGCGGTGACCCTACACACGGGATATGTTGATATATATAGCGCGGACAACAGGGGCACGGTGTCATTAGCTCGCGGGGCACGCTGCCGTGACGCTCGGCCGCGTGGGCCAGCAATGTGGACACTACGCGGTGACCCTACACACGGGATATGTTGATATATACAGGGCGTCCCACGGCTACCTCACACGGAGGGAAAGTATATTAAATATTGAAGATAGGATATCTTACTGAAAGACGACATCATTTTATTTTTAATAAAAACTAGAACATTCGCAGTTTTTTTTAAAATCGCCTGCTACAACTGGGAATCAAACTCGTGAAATTACGAACAAAAAACACGACCTATTTTATGATAACCATCGAAAGGGTTAATCATAAGGATTATTTTTTGCTAAATAACATAGCATTTTAAATGAAAGAAAAGTAATTAAATTTAACATTTTATTCAAAATTATTTAACACAAACTAATATAAAATCGGATATGCTATAATGTTGAGTTTGTCATCGTTGACGTTTATCATCCGCTTCTGTGGTTTCTGTAAGCGCATACCAAAACGTCCTATATTTCTTAAACTATCCACTAACCTTTTAAAATTCCTTCCTTCCTTATGATTAACCCTTTCGATGGTTATCATAAGATAGGTCGTGTTTTTTTTTTTTGAAATTCCACGACTTTGATTTCCAATTGTAGCAGGCGATTTTTAAAAAATCTGTGAATGCAGCTCTAGTTATTACTAACAATAAAATGATGTCTTCTTTCAGTTAAATATCCTATCTTCAATATTTAATATACTTTCCCTCCGTGTGAGGTAGCCGTGGGACGCCCTGTATAGCGCGGACAACAGGGGCACGATATCATTAGCTCGAGGGGCACGCTACCGTGAATTCTACACGAGGGTTCCAAAATGATATATTCTCCAACACATTTGCTCAAAAAATACATTTAAGGAGGTTGTATACACTGTTCGAAAGTTCAATATTACGAGCGTGCGGTAAAACGTTTTACCGTTTATTTTAGTCGAACCTCCTTGGGAACGATTTTAATCTTTTTAGTATTAAAGTGAAAGCGTTTCGCTATGGTTTCACTTTAATACTAAAAAGAAAACGAAATATCTCGTATCTATTAGACAAGTCCGTCCGTCTGTGGTGCTGTTTCAGCGGCCAAACCGTAAGAGATAGATAAAGAGAATATTTAAGTTATAAGTTAAGAATAGTCTGATAAGACTACAAACCGGATTTGAGTAACGTAGCACTTCCGGTTTTCGAGAAATCACGAATTTCAAACGAAACTACACAAAATCTCCGAAGTTCTCAATTAATTAAATACATTTTTTTTTTAATTCAGATTTTGGTGAACATTTGGTTCACTGGTTTAGTTCTAATTTTCACCACCCGCATGTCACATGATCGAAAACGCCTGTGATAGGCCGAATTTAAGTTAGCATCAAATCATGTCAGCGAATACGGCTAAGATTGGCCTTATTTTAAGTTCATCAAATTGTATAAAAGAAAATGTATCTTGATTTTGTAATGGTAGGTAATATATGTCTGTGCTCGGAGATGTGGCGCACGCAGGTGCGTCGGCCCCGAGACCGCCCTCATATGGGCGTAGGAGGGTACCGGGGGGTTTTAGTGGAGTAGGATCAGTGTGGCCTTCCGCACTGGTCCTGCTTGAGTAGGGTCGGCACTGTTTCCCGTGCCGGCAAGTCCCACACACGCCGTGCGCCTAGTCAGCGTCACGGTATGGTGCGTAACTGCATTTCCCCTCGTCGCAAAAAAAAAAAAAAAAAAAAAAAAAAAAAGCTAATATATGTCTTCGAATATTACAGATCCTAGCAAAAATGCCTTATTTGTGCTTTAATTAACTTTTTATTCACGGTGCTTCAAATTTGTTTTAAAGTGTATCGATACAAAATTATAATTATTCAAAGGTTCTGGGTTGTTTTAGCTTCTTGGATTGTATAGTTTTATTTGTTAAAATGTCTGTCCATGTTAGGCCAAATTCCCATACAAAGTGGGCATCGCCCTTTGCCCCGTCTCTTTCATTGAATTATAATATTGGTACGGATGAATATTAAAACACCTTACCTTAAAACAGTGCTCGCATCTGTGAGGGAAACTTTTCCATTTGGGATTTTTCTTCCGGCTGAAGATCATCTTGTAGGGCTCCGCTGGAAACCAGTCTTCGGGGTCCAACTCGAGTTGCAACAGTTCCGTGCCTGGTAGAAGCAAACAAGGTTAATGATTTGGATTTGTAATTCAATGTAGTCAGCTACTCAGAGGTCCCAGGTTCAAATATTGATAAAATTAGCTTATCTTAGAATGTCCTGCCTTCAATATACAGAGAATCTTATTGATAGATGGCTTAATAGAGATATACAATAAATGCAGAATACCCAGCCAATTGCCATCTATCATACAAAATACTACTACATATCCTATATTATTTGAATATGTAATGAATACATTCAAAAACATAAAATGATGAAATGAAGTAATGAATGGCCGAAATAGACAAATTCACGGGCGTAAAACTTAAAAAAAAACGCCAATTATCCGGCTCAAAATATAAACAGTACTATGACTTGAATGATTCCCTGTTCAATATATGATATGACAAAGATAATGTCGTGTGAGGCGGGTCGTTGCGTTCCCTAAAATATGGTTGAGCGAAGCGATGGCTGGTTCATGCGTCATGCTCGTGAACGGGTGCTGCCAGCGGAGATGAGTCTGCTCTATACTACTTTATTATTGTAATGTTAATTATTATTGGAGTTTACTCCTTAAGAATCGATTTGCATATATAAGGGGCCCGGTATGAGAAAGATGTGAGGAGTAAAATCTATCGATGAATGACCTCGTTACGTTTTTGGTGCGCATCCTATGTCGCGCAACTTTGACAAACAAAGATGACGGATTGACATTAAACGTCCATGTGTCTTATTTTAGTTACCATAAACCACTTGTCACTGTAATTAATAATGCAGACAATGTTGATTTAATTAATATTTAAAAAAATGATAATAGTCTGATAATAATAATTACATAATTTATCAACATTCCTAATGATATATTTATGCACATCTGAAATTGACTATTGTAAAAAGTTAAATGTAAAATATTTCGTCGATTAGTTATAATAAATGTATATGAAATGAATAAATATATACCTATTTATATATGTATATTATTTTCATTAATTTGTTAATTTACCCTTTCATACAGTATCAATCTTTTTTAATTTAAATAAACTCTTTTTGCGTCTGGTTAGACTATCGAACGTAAGGAGTAAACTCCAGTCGTGCGTCGGAGCTGACACACACAATTTTTTAAATTTAGATTGTATTTTACATTACACAACTTGTATTTATACTGTATGACACAGCAATCAAAATGTAAATGAACATTTATTATTTCTCTGATAAAGATTTAATGGCGGTGTGGATTCTGGTATGGTTTTCTAGACCTGAACTTGGTTTTGCAGCGGTATATCCTTGTCATTCTCTATACAGACTGAAAAGGGAGGACTGATGTTGGATTTGGTTTTGGGTTGGGAGAGTAGTGCCAGAATCGACAACAGTGTTTGGGTAATCACATGCATGTGTCCTGCCGTTATGTTTATAGTTTGTTATAATAATGTACTCTGGTACTTATATATTTTTTTTTCTATTTTTGTAACATAGTATCCATGTGTGGTCATGAGTAGTCATGCTCTCTTAAAAATCTCTTCTGTGGTGTCGTGTGAGGCGGGTCGTTGCGTTCCCTAAAAAATGGTTGAGCGAAGCGATGGCTGGTTCATGCGTCATGCTCGTGAACGGGTGCTGCCAGCGGAGATGAGTCTGCTCTTACTTCATTGCATACTATTAATCGTTGTACTAAACTTTACTCGTTCATTTTTTTTTTGCCTAAACAGCAGGACACGGCATTCCTAAACTTTGTTAAACCAGTTTTTTATATAGTCATAATTTTTATATTATTTGCATTTGTAATGGAAAGTGACTTTATGAGTTACCTCATATTGAAGTCATTTTTCAATTTGACGACTCTGTATATAATACAGGGAGATGTAAACAGCCCTTGCTGAGTTTCTTGCCGGTTCTTCTCAGTACCAGGTCTTCCGCCGTAGATTTGCGAATCGATGGCGAGGCTTTTCGACATTCACAAGTGCTTGTAACAGCCTAGACTGAATAAACGATATTGAATTTTGAATATAGCCATTCTGATAGACCAACGCACATATAATCATAATCAAAATCATTTGTTTAGTCTAGGCTGTTACAAGCACATATGAATGTCTAGAAGCTACACCATCGGTTCATAAATCTACGGCGGGAGACCTTGTACTGAGAAGAACCGGAAAGAAACTCAGCAAGGGCTGTTTTTTTCTCCCTGTTTTATCATTTACAGAGACGTCAAGTTGAAAAATGACTTCAGAGATGATTCATGAAGTCACCTTTCATTACATAATGTGAAATTATACATTAATTATTCACCTGCACTTTGATTGCTGTGTCTCACAGTATAAATACAAATTGAGTTATTTAAAATAGGTGTAATTAAACATTTACATCTTAAATATCAAAGTAGTTAGGGAAGACTCATCCCGCTGGCAGCACCCGTTCACGAGCATGACGCATGAACCAGCCATCGCTTCGCTCAAGCTATATTTTAGGGAACGTAACGACCCGCCTCACACGACACCATTAAATATAAAAATTAAAGTAAAACATACAACCATATAAGTTAAAGTAAATAATTATCATATTATTTTTATCTTGATGCTTGAGACAGAGCTGTACCAAACATGGGCATTCTCCTTTAATTTTCTTATGCATCCCCCAATAGCAACCCCCATATTCGAAATTTATTTATTTACTTTATTTGTCTGTCTTTGGGGCACATACATACAAGTATGTACCAAATTTTTATGAGCAACTAAACGGTAACAGACAGATAGATATATAATAAATATACCTTCAGGTACTTTTATGGGTTCTTGAGGTATCACCAGTTGAGGTAGAATAGATGGGCCGGGCATCGAAGATGGCAAACTTAGCGTTGTATTTGACGCAGCTAACAAACTGGTCAATATTGTGTTTTGAGCCTGCAGACAAGAAATATGAAAACATATAATATCATATAATAATAGTTATTTATGATCTTTACGGGATTGTTACCATGTACCTTGTTTTCCCATAAATAACATAAATTACTATAAACAATCCCGTGAATAAAATAAATTACTATAATGTTATGAATTGTCTGTATTTGTGATCTTGGAAGCAAAGCAACTTTTGTAAGAACCAGGGGGCCAATCGCCTAACGGAAATGCTTTGGAAAACGCTAACGCTTACGATTTTATTTTGTTATTTCTAGCCACCTGAGGTATTCAAATGCCTCGCGCTCTTTCTTTTTCTTTTGCATTGGTAATAACAATATTTAAAAAAATGAGCTATTCGAAAACCTCAGGCGGCTAGAAATAACAATATAAAATCGTAAGCGTTAGCGTTTCCCAAAGCATTTCCGTTAGGCGATTGGCCCCCAGAAATACTATCTAGGCTCTCCGTACTTCGGAAGACATATTGAGCCATTGGTCCCAGCCAGCTGACTCTGCAGGTGTTAACTCCCACCAATCAACTATAAGTTGTATTTGTCTGTACTTTATCTTAAGAAAAGGCCAGTGCCCTAGCAGTGGGGAGATCAATATAATAGTCTTTAAATATCATCATCAGCCTATTAATATCCCCACTGCTGGGGCACAGGCCTTCCATATGGATGGAATAGGGAGATTGGGCCATGACCCACCACGCGGGCCCAGTGCCGATAGGCGGGTGCCAACGACTGCAGATGCAACCGGGACCAACGGCTTAAAGTGCCTTCCGAAGGAACTTGAGATAGAAGATTTTTGGTCATCCATCCAATGACCGACCACTGCGAAAGTTGGTTAACTTGAACGATCGCAGCCGAACGCGCTAACCACTTGCGCCTTCGAGCTCCACAGTCCTCAGTCTTTAAATATGGTAATGAATAAATAGTAATGTCATTAATTTACCTGCAGGAGAGCAACATTGGAGACATTTGTCAAACTCATAGAAAGATCTGTCTTAGGTTTCCTCTTGTAACCTTTAGGCGGTCCCCTTTTCTTTGCAATCTCTCCATTTTTCTTATATCGTACCACTTCGGCGGTGTCCGTCTTATGTGGAGTTTGCACCGGTGTTATCGTCAATTTAGCAGGCAACGAGTAGCGAGACTGCAGGTTTTTAACGATACTATTCGCATTGTTAACAATGGAACTATTTAAAGCTAACGGGTTCGCTAAATTCAATGGGTTGTTAACGAACTTTGGTAGTGTTGTGGTTGGTGCTGAAGGGAATATTGATAAGGATTTTGGTGTGTTGAATGCTGGTATTTGGTAGACTTTCAGGTTTAGTGATGGGCTGTTGTAACTGGTTTTCAGTCTTTTGGCGGTTGGCTCTTCGTCACTTGACTCCGATTGGTTGGGATTACTCAGAGGATCCTGGTCAGAATTCGAGAATGGGTCTGTATGAGGATTCTCCGTTTCCTGGACGCAAAACATCTGGAATTTACAAACAGACAGTTGGTTGATTAGAAGTATTTCAAACATTGGAAATTAGTTAATTGAAAATGAAATATTGTTCATAATCCATTCTAAATTATGATAAATCTAATTAAACAAATATTATAGTTTATGCACTGGCATGGACTGTTTAATTAATAATAATGTAAGCATAGTTTAGTTAGTTCTAGTAAACTTTTCTTTAGATTTAAACATCAACACATTAAATGCTTAAAAAATAAATAAAAACGTAAGCATAGTTGTCTAGCTGTCTTAAAAAAGGAGGATTTAGAGCCAATTCTTCAAAACTCAGATAAAACTTAACGGTTTAATAAATGAATACTCAATCAAAAAGAGAGATATGTCATCCGTCACATTACACCAATAAATACAAGTTAACTCTTTATATTGTCCATATAATACAATATCAGAAAGATAAATTTTATCCAGTGTTTGAGAAATCAGCTCTTAAAATAACGAGTTTCCTAACCTGAAAATTAAAAATATATACATTCCAAATTCAAAATTTCATAAAATCATATTAAGTATTTGTATTCTTGGTTCCTTGTTTTTTGATACAAATTTTATTTATCATAGACTAAAATAATTATTTTCTTTTTTGATGAGAATAATTTTGTGTGCAAGTTTGAAAACTTGGCAATCAAGTCAAATTTTTATGACATTAAGTCATACTTTAAGTAAATGCATACTTAATTACTTGGTTAAGCAACAATATAATATACTGAGTAGGTGCTTATGGCTTAAAAATTATAATGCCACATGATTATTGCAAAATTTTCAGTTAAATGTGTCATGAGAATTAAGGTAATGAATACTAGATTGAGTTAATGAAGTAAAATAATTATTAATCCAGCAGAATTGATAATAGAATGGTCTGTCTGTATAATACAAAAATATATTTCATTAAGCTGTATACTATATATAAATTGGTAGTGATTTCATAATTAATTGTAATGATTGAATTTCTTAAAGTTGAATACAAGCTGATGTAACGCTATCATGGAATTAAAAAAAATACTCACGATTCGAAATTCAAAATAGTATTAAAGATCAAATCGAAAACATTTCAGTATTTCTCAATTTCAATACACGAATACTCAAAATGGCGTTTTTTAAAATCTATAAAGAAGTGAAACAATGAGACTGATCTCATGAAATAACTGCACATGCCACTAAAAAGTTATACGCTTACGATGAAATTGATCTAATTATGACACGAAATTACGCATACTTTTGAATGAATAACTAACCTTTTTGCCTTGTAATCGTCAAAATAGCTTTCGAACACACTAAATCGTCACATTAACACTGTTTTATGCACGTTCCTATTGTTAAGAAATTAAAATAAAATCGAAACACGGAATAAAAGGTTATGCTCGGTTAATAATAACAAGTTCTCATCGCCATCCATTCAAAGAACAGCGGTACATTGGTTAAATTCTGACGTACAATCACGCCCTACCATGCCTTTAAAATCCCTGTAACATTAGACTTTATACCAACTGACTTAAGGTGTAAATCGCATTTTGAACATAGGGTAGATGTTGAAAATTTAGCGTGGATCGTGCGCGTCAGTAGCGTCACCCATTGTTTGACGTTTCCATTTGGTGTGGCTAGTAATAAATTCAAAATACCCCAAATTTAAAATCTGATAGACGCCAAAGGAAATGCGTACCGAGTCAGATTGTAAGGAGGTTGTTATGGTCACGGACATCGTAGTTCATAAAAGCACTGTTAGATGTCAGTTTAGTACATTTTTTGATTTGGGGTGTGCCCTCTTTCGCGCCCGCCAAGTCTCATCTTGCATTCAGAGTTACCTACCTACTCAGATTTTCTTCTCTACTCACCTCTATTTTATTTGCAAATTAAATAAAATCAAAACCTTGAAGATGGCAGATTTTTGTTAAGTCAGGCCTAGCTATTGAAACCGTAGTCCGTAGCCTTTATCTACTTTCTCATAATTTAACTAAAGGCACTGGCTGCATCCCTAATCTTTTTCCGACACCAGTTACTAATATTCTTGTCTGTTTTCTTTAAGCCTTATGATGGGAGACTTGAGATACTTAATACTACGAGGGATTCCGAAATTATTATTAATTATTTAGACTGGCAACATTAGTACTTAATTGTGCATACTTGCCATGAAACCGGCACCTTTTTAAATAGGTACAGCCTGAAGCAAAACTCATTGAGTATAGTAGTTCTAATGAGAGTACCTAACCAAGTTCATTTTTATAGAACATTCACTCTGAAAGTCTCACTTGGACTTGAAATTGAGACTTTGACACATAGATGACGTGCTTGTTATTTATTTTTCTCATCATGAAAAACTTATGTAAAGATATATTATTGTTGAATCGATATCAGTATTATTGTTTAACGGCAAAATATTTTGGCCAATAGTGTGACCTCATTTTTGCATATCAAATTAGACAGCTACGCCATCACATTAATTAAATAAACAAAAGAAGTACTTAAAAAGAAACAAAAAATACGAGATAACCAATTTTTATTCGAAAACTTAATTTAAAATCCAACATCGTTTACAAGTAAGATTTTTTTTCTCAAAAAAAAAGGAAATAAATTACTAACGACTAGATGACAACGCTGTACACGGACCAAGCTCGAGTAAATAATAAAAAAGGATAATTACAAGTAATAATAATAATAAATTATCACATACAACTTGGTCTGCGAATCGTTAGCACGTGTTGGGGATCAATTTCTTGGTAATTGGTGTTTAATTTGTACAATTGCAACACAAACCTTAAGGCAAATATGTGAAAACCATGGGTTGATATAGAAAATGGACTGATCGACTTTATGATTGAAATTGATAACTCTGTAGAAAGAGATAAAGCCATGGTGCAGCTAATACTTATTCGAATTATTTGCAACACGATCGTTTTGTCTCTTTCACACTTATCGGCCTGGTGGACAGTACTTAAATATACTAGAATCAGTTTATTGTCTTCGTCTAAAATAAAAGCAATCTCCACACAATGCCAACACATGCTAACATTCCGATCTCACTTACATCGTATATTTACAATCTTAATAAACACTTATATAAGATTTGGCTTCAAACATAGTCGTGGTTTTGTTATTTATTTTTTAACTGGTCACACTGTTTTGGTAAAGTTTCTGTATTATTATTATCACGAGAAAAAAAAAATTAGGGTCCTACTTTTAGTTATGTTGTGAGAACCGCAACTTTCCTTTCCCGCTTGTGTCAACTAATTGCCTTACGAGTACAAAATAAATATATGCTACAAAATATGAATTAATATGCCCTAATATATTTGTTTTAACATTTACAATGGACCCAGCAACAATACTTGCATTTACATCCTCTACATGTGTTAAAATGTAAATGAAAAAATTGTTGCAGCAATATTTCCTATCCATAATGCAATAAACGTTCAGCATTATTTCTGTTTCATTATTATTGCGCGTACACTCCTCATTTCATAATAAAACACTATTAAACGAGTCACCAAGTAAGTATGTTGGCATGATAACTTAAACAGATCCAAAACTCGTATAATATTAAAATATTAATCCAAACCCCGTTCAAAAGTGCTTTATTAAAGTTACATAATAATTAAATATACAAAAAAAAACTGGCTTCAAAAAGATTTGGTATAGACAAAATCAACTGGTAATGATGGTATTATACATACATATATTATAGGAATGATTACATATAAAGAAATCGTAGTAGGTAAAGATATGTAAGATAAGAATCAGTCTGATTCTAAATATAATTTTGATTATGGTATAACCGGTTTTTTGACTAACTTCATTTATTCATTTCATAATACAATATAAAGTTTAATATTGCTTTACAGATAGAAAAACACTTTAACTTCATACTTAGTTTATAAGGCAGTCAAACCATAATCAGGATATATTTTTATGATATGCATAGAATGAAAGAAAGAAATTTGAGCAATGTGAAGGAATAATTTTCTTAGATTACAAAACAAATAGCTTTCACTGCATATTATGTTAAGTGAAAGTCCTTTACTTTATTTATTTATATGAAGTAAATCCGAATTAAAGCTATTGCAAAAAAATATTGACGATAATTTCAAAATGATATCATCTTATGTACGGTTTTACCACTTCAGATTCGAATAATTTAGCACTGGCAACACAGCATGGTAGCATACTATCTACTGGCTCATTTTCGCTAAATATTCGATCTACTGTATGGTAAAATCGCACAGAATCATTTGTAGGAACTCCTTTTCGTACTATTTATTGTTTCTTTTTTAAATATTTTTTTTTCTATCATAGACTTTCGTATCTGTAGATTTACTATTTCCGGTTTCGTTTAGAAATAGTCGCTGCGTTCAAATTATAACTTCTGTTGTGTTATTTTTTTATCTAACCAGAGAATAGTGTGTTTATTTGTTTTTTAACATTACATATCAACCCTACTGGTAACGTTAACATACAAAAGTAAACATATAAGTATGATAGGAATTTAAAATTATTAAATGCAATAACTCTATCACCAATTATTATTATTAATCATATATCATGGACGTAAATATCTCGTTTGCAGATAGTTAAGCCTAGTTTCGGGACTAGGCAAATAGATGTAGCTTTAAACAAAACCACTTATATTTGTCTAGAATTATGTCAATATTGTCAAAAGTTTAGGTTATAATTTATCATCACATGTCGGCGAAACCCGTAAGACAAGACAAAAGTACACACCTCGTAAACCATAAACAATAAGTGTCAAAAATTGGCGCCAAAATTTGTTGTTTCTTTTTGAATTGACATAATTATAACCTAACGAATTTCACAAATTGTCCGCCTGTTTATTTATATACCTACCTCCTAATACTTAGCGCAACTAACAACGATTTTATACATAGTTATATATAACATAGCCTCGCTTCTTAGAAAAGACGTTACATTCCGTCGAAGATAAAAATGACACTTTATGTAATAGCTAACGGTAGCTTTAGTCTTCGAGATAATGTCAAAATTGCATCAGAGACAATGAGCACAAGTTTTATACATTTCACACTTGTCTTTTGAGATTTCCATCATTTATTAAACAACGGTATCACGAATCAATCGTAAACTCATACAATGACAAACTTCAAATCACCACTAACCATCAAATTAATGTGTAATTGAAAAAGTCGCACATAATAATTTCTGTTGTCGATGTCAAATAAATGTCGAACAAACAATTCCTAAACATATCATTTGAATATACACAGATTCGTTATATATATATATTAAATTAATCAATCCATAAATATATTAAGTTCCCGAATACGTTACAATATACATGTATTATATTAAAAAAAAAAACTTTCACTTTTTCACCACTGACAACGCTAGACCACACATTCCGATCTCAACTCAGTCCTATTTGGCATAATATTGTTTTCAGTCACACATCAAGATTTGTAGGTACGGATTACATCTTTGATCTGTGCTCGGCACAGAGGGCATTGACCCCCACCTTTGCCTCGCCACTGTTGGACAGCACATCTATAGCACATGCACATATGTCCGCACATATATAGAACGCTGTCTATGGGGTTTTCGTAGCAAATAGTGCACTCTGTTCCGGTCAGTTGGCCTTGGGTGTCTCCTATGACTGAGTAGATAGGCTGCCTGCTCGTTGAAGGTCCGTTTGGTATCCTCTCCAGCCTTAAGGGTTCGTGGCCGTTGGGCATTTGGGCTTGTTCGTTGCAGCTGTTCTGAGTGCTAGAGCTGCACTGGGCTTCTGTCCTGGGCCTGGGCTGTTGATACGACGGCTGCGGTAATGGGTTGCAAGGCGGTTGGCTTGATACCGACTGGAGGCCGGCTAAGCATAGCTGTGACGATGCCTGGATCGGCTGGAAAGACGAGAGATTCTATGATCAGTTTTGTTGTCCGGAGATAGTTTTTGGCTACCTACTTTAATACATCGTACAAACTATGAAAGTTAAGAAACAGTTACAATAATAGTTCAATTAAATTTATACACTAATTCAATCAGAAAATCCAAAAATTTTGTTGTTTATGAAACGATTCAGATAGCAAATCTAATATTAATAATAAGTATCATTTAACCCAAAAGGACTTGAACTTTTTTAATGTTTGACTGACATTTTAAACATAGTTACTTTTGTTAGTTATTAGTGAGTAATTTGGTTTATTAGTGCCTAAAGCAAAGCATCCTTTGAACTAATTGTACATTTCATAACGATAACAAAAAATACCAACTGATAAAACTTGCAGTTTGCGTAAAATGACGCATGCATGTGATATAGTAACGCAACTCACCTCAATATAATGCGCACTGGCGAGCGTCAGTCCCTGCTGATGGTTGGCGGCGTTCTGCGCAGCATTCTGCGGCGGCAGGCTGACCACCAGCACGGTGCCGCCCGACCCCGCTATAGGAGCGGCAGTTCCCGTCAAAACCCTCAACTGCTGCGGCGGTGACGTCACAGCCTGCGACGTCAACATCCTGACCTTCTGCGTCGCCCCGTATATATCCACGAAGGCCCACAGCCTCAGCGTGTGGTCTACGTGCATCACGGTAATCGGAGTCGAGCCATTCCTGCTCACTCTCACTTCTCCATCCATTGTCAATGTTACAGCCAACTCGTCACCTCGCCCCAAGCCGTTTGCCGCGTCCCGTCGAACGACCCAGTACTCGGGACGATCTAGGAGTAGCTCCGCGTCTGCCGGCAAATCGCAAGGCCTCAAACTAGCCGGGTCGCAGGAAGTCAGACCGATGGATAAGCTGCCGGCGTATGCAGATTCTGTCGCTAATATTTGAACGACAATCGTTTGCCCAGGGCGCATAGGTCGCGCCGTGAACACGTATCCTTGGCAAAATTCTGCATCCACTCTTGCAGCGACACCTCTATCGTTTACAAATTGGACATTCCTTCCTTTAGTTCTGTGTAAGCTGAGCGGCACCAGAGGATTAGCGTATCTAGGCGGGGGCAGTGGTTCGTCGACGCTCAAAGACCTCATGCTGCCAGCTAATCTCTCTTCGTCAATCGGACTTTGATTAGGTCTTCTCACTTGGTTCGGGACGCGTGGATCTGCGAATTGCACCGCTGTGCAGTTCCCGTATACGTCTACGAGGGCCCATAGAGGGTTTCTCGTGTCCACTCCTGTGAAGAAGAGTCCTTTGTCTTCCCCGTTGATGCCGAAGTGTACGTCTCCCGCTGAATTCACGTAGTAATGCAGTATGTTGTCCTTTTCGCAGAATCTTTCGCCTAAAGCTTTGGCCCAATTGCCAGGCTTGTTCGTGAGGTCTGGACAGGCGTATTTGGGGAGGGAGTGCACGATCGACGCGGGGTCGTGGCTCGTGAAACCGAAGCGGATTACGCCGCTCCAGCTGTTTGAAATCTCGACGAAACGAAGGCACACCTGGAAAAAATAAATAGGTCTTTTAATATCCTGGGTCTTTCCAAAAAAGAGATTCAATCCTTAAAATCGGAATCGGGATAGACTTAAAAATCCCTGAGCCCTGTTCCAAAATGTCAAAAGTAAATAGCACCTGATATTAGCAACCAAAGCATAATTACATTTAGCTTTTAAGTCTAAAAGGGTAATGTTTCCCAATTAGGAAGCAATAAATTCATTAATGGCGAACAACTCGCTATTTTGTCTAATCTCGACAAATCCACGCTAAATAGAACGTGTAGAATCGAGGTATTAACTTTGCGAGTAGAATTTGGCAATTGCAACCCCTTTATCTAAACCAATTAAAACTATAAGTGACTAATCTTCTCTGTTAAAGCTTTGATTTACATTGAGACAGAATTATCTATTTTCAAACTGCCTTCTTCGTCAGTCAGTATATTGCTTACCTTTTCGTTAACCCGCACAGGTCTTGCGCTGAACGCGACTCCCTTGCAGAAAGACTCCACCCTCCTCGCCACAGAGCCATCTCTGGACACCCTGACATTCTCCCCATGGACACTGTGGAAGCCCAGGGGCGGCAGGTTGTTTGGAGTGCCGCCTGTGCAGGAAGTGCGAGGCGCTGCAACAATGAGAAGCAAGAATTAATACAAAAATGTTTAAGAGCAATAATTTTGTGTTTTTTGTAGCAAGCACTGTTTGTTCGTGTATTCAGTCAATGTCAAGTAAAATAGCGAGTGGTTGATACTGTTCTGCAAAATATTTAAAATTTCTTGAGACTGTTTGACAGTCAAGTTCATTCTTAGTGGGGCAAAATCTTATAAGATTAGTAGAAACTACCCTTACAATTCGAATAATAATTGGAACGAGCCGGGTATATTTCGCATTACACCTATTGGAAAAAAAGTGAAATGAGTAAATGTAAAATCACAATTATGATGCCACATCAATTTCAGTCGCGTGACAGCTAATGAAACTTATGACCAGAAATGTCTTTCAAATCCTTATAAGAATCTAAATACAGAAGAATACTACGATCCCGTAACCAAAAGTGATTCTATCACAAAACCTGGAAGCAGGGAAGTGTTAAATGATTTACGCGCCAATTCCAGTGTGATTTGGCGCCAACTCAATGGCTGTATCGCTGACAAACCCTAGCCTAGATAGCCAAAAACACACCTATGGAATCACCAAATTTGCCGAAGTATGAACTACGCACCTTGGGATTGCGTTTTACGCTTCAAAATCCATTTCCTATTCCAAATCCTCCTCTTGCGTGACCTCCTGCTCTGCTTAAAGAACTCCTCCAACTCTTTAGGTAACTTGTCTTCCACAACATCACCACTACAAAACGTTTCTACCATAATCAGTTTCGAAACTAAATGACTAAACAAATCCTAGGAAGCATTAAATTTTCTTTTTTAATTCCTTCAGCAATCAAAGTACTGTACCTATCTATTTGCCATCGATCATAATTTTTATCCATCGCGCAAATCACAAACGGTGTTGTTGTAAAGCAATTTTACATATAATCCGACAACGATAAGAGGGTATTATCTCTAGTAATACCACCTTGTAATCAGGATTAAGCTTTGCTAAATCGCAAACTAGACAGGTAATTAATTATAACGATACCTATTTTTACATGAATCAGTTGATCTGTAAAACAGATTTTAAGGTTAACAACAAGTTGCTTTACTTTTTTCTAAATAAGAGCTCCACTGGTTGTGGGGGTAGGATCAGAGTCCTAAGCTCTGATCTTAGACAGCTCCTTAATCACATCGTCAGTTTCTAAAAAAACTAAGCCCTAAGACAAGAATTTGGCTCATTCCATACTTAATTTAACGAAACGATTAGGTAAAGTTCGTGCTTCAACCTCTGGTATCGCAAGTGTCAGGCCATGGTGGCTGCTTACCACTCAGTGGCTGACAGGCGACACCATGAAACTAATCTCATTAATGAACTTAAATACATATCAATAATTTGCAAGCTTCTCGATTTCTATTTCCGTTTCATTTGTTTCCATGCCAACATCAAATGATGATACTGTTTTACAAATCAGACGGTATAGGTAGATATTTTCCTAAAAGCAAACAGCAATAGGTTTTAGCTAAATATTTTTAAGAACAGCACTCCATTGTCATCTCCCCCATGTTATCAACCCCTCAAGATAGCAACACCTGCGCGGCAGATGCTAGCAACCCAACAGCTTGCGCTTGCGCACGCCAGTCGAGTATCGACTTCAATACACCGTATTTAAAAGTAATTTTTACGTGCGTCAACACTAAAATATGGACTTGGTGAAATAAGTTACATCCAGATGTACTTTTTATAAGACTTACGGTATTTATGTGTTTGGCAAGATAGTACCACTTATATTTAAAACATAAAGTTGAATATCACAATATCTTATTTAAACAAAGAAGGTAAACAGGGATTTATAAAAGAAGAAAAGTTTACACTCATAAGTGTTTATTAGGCAAACCAACTGCTTTACCACAAACGCAGTAAATTCCTAATTACACAATAATATTTTTTTATTTTGGTATCTTTGTTTAACGACATTTTTTTTTTATTATGTTTACAAAGTGAATTAAGTAAATATTACTTAGAGAAATTAAAAAAAAAATATGTCGAACAATGAAAACGCGCTAGTTTTTTTAGAATCAACAAAACGAACAGTGCAACAATTACAATATATAATGTTAAATAAGCACCTAGTTACTTTAAATTAAGTCTCTGACTGAATTTATTTATATTTCCCAATATTATTTGGGAAGAAGTTTTAGTATGCCAGTAACTTATTTTTGGGGATTAAGCAATCATAGTTTGTATTCTTAAGTTTCTTCATGCATTATTCCACTAAGTACTTTGAACCCTGACTAATGTGTCGTCTGCACAGCAATTTCGCCCTCCATGGAGGGTGTCACGCTATTGTGAGCACACGTGCGAGCAGCACAGTTCCTTCTATTTAAAACAACACCCGGAAGCAGGGAAGTGTTAAGTGATTTACGCGCCAATTCCAGTGTGATTTGGCGCCAACTCAATGGCTGTATCGCTGACAAACCCTAGCCTAGATAGCCAAAAACACACCTATTTTGTCTATGATCGGTATACGTGGAGTAGTTAAAAAATAACAACCGGTGTTTTGAACGCAAAATATATATTAAATAAAATATTTATATGATCCTTAAAACAAAGAACTAATCGGGTTCTGATTAATAAAGATAAAACTAAAAACACACTAAGTTTTTGATAGTAATTTTTGAAAAAGACAACAATATGTTGTTCCTTTATACTTTCACATATTTAAGTAAATCATTATCAAATAACAATAGGGGCTCATGTAACAGCCAGGTGGTCCAGAAAAAAAGCAGAACATGAGGGTGGCAGCCATTTTGGGTTTTGGAGGGGGATCTTATATCCGCCGGAAGGAGAGATCGATGTATGGACTATTTCTTTGGATTTCCCTATTTTGGAACCGGTAATAGGATATTTTTTTATATTTCATCGGAAGTAACGAGCGCAATACGAAATTTAATCTTTTTATAAATGTAAATGGCAATTGTTCGTTCACATCAGCAGTAAATATTTTGAAGTTGTTTCATCATATTGTGCTTGGGAAATTAAAAACCGAAAGAGCCACAGAGTACTGGAAATAATAAAGTACCTACTTATTAAAGTTTCATTTTTATTTTTGCGCGATCAATTTTAGCTGAAGACTCTTACCATTGAGATAACGAACGAAGCCATCTTTGTACTTTTTACTAGCGCTTGTAAATGAACAACGTGATAAAACGTTCATTTGTCAAACCATCAAACATAAACCAATGTAAACATTGTAAGTAATTACATATTTACAACTTTCGGTTATAATTAAAAACATGATATTTTTTCACAGGCAAAAATATAACAGAAGACTGAATTGAAGAGAAGGTTTGAGACTGGCTAAGAGATATTGCAGGGCATCCTTTTTTTTACGTCAGGAAAATGGTCAACCCCCTATCGGAGGAGGCTAGTGTGCTTTGCAATATGGTAGCAAAAATTGTATGTAATATTAAGTAATTTTAAGAAATTACTTAATTATTACATAACATTTTTGTATAGACAATTTGGTCCGAAAGTCCCTTAAAAAAAAGACAGAAGAGAATCTCGTCGTCTTGGTTTGTATTTGTGATAAGTAAACAACTTTTGCAAGGACACCAGTCGTAAGATGGGTGACCAAATTTTTTTCATTTCTCTTTCTTCTTGGTGCTCTCCGTAACGTAAAGCCCGGCTGCGACAACAATCGTTAGCGCCCACCAATCGTCACTGGACCGTGAGAGCATTTATAAGTTGTTGATGATATTATAAACGATCGAATTTGATAAATAGTCGATAGATAATTTGGATAAATTCCCTGTGTTCCCCTAGCATGAACGAATATCGAATTCGAATAGTTTGTGAGTCCGAAATGTTATTGTCAAATTTTGTTTGGAAAATTGAAGCAGCAGCACACAACGAACTTAACGAGAACTAAAAATCAGTAACCACTTGACAAAGACATTTCGGACTCATAAACTATTCGAATTCGATATTTGTTTGTGCTAGGGGTACTGGCTATGTTAATTGGCGACACGCGTCCGGCCGGCGCGCGGCTTTCGTCGCCTTGTCAAATTATTTGTAAAAATAATTTACTTTGTGACGCGTGCGGGCGTTTAATTGTGTAAGGGATATGTTGCTATTTAGGTAAATTACTAAATCTAATATTTAATTACATTACGACTCTGTGCAAGGCCGTGTCTAATGTACTCCAGAGTATAGAGGGTCGACAGAAATTGATAAATAAAATCTGTTTGAACAAAAAGGCAAATAAAAGCTTATTTTTCACGTGTTCAAATTAGGTGTAATAATTCATCACTTGTCAGCTAAGGTGAGACATGTATATTAATCATGTCTCACTATTAAATGTAAATTAAATAAATTTTGACTTATTAAAATATAAACGGACGCCCTGAAACGCAGGCGCATAGTAAATGTCACCTATGACGTCACGGAGTCTTCCTGGTGCAGTGCCTAGACTAACTTTAGACGTTTGACGTCAAACCTGATCTAGATAACTGTACAACTCTTTTTATTGCTGAACATAATTCACTATGGTCCTATTTTTAGCGCCGCAATTGCATTGTCTCTGGCTCTGCACCGTTAATTTGAGCCTTTAAATAAAACAAAATATAGATTGTGCTTAAACTAAATTAAATTAATTATTTGCCCACTCGGCACACAAATAAATACATATTAAATGCATCAACAGGCAGCCATGTTGCTTTTGAAATAAAACCTACTCGATTCGAACAACAGTCCTATTTTTAAAATTCTAAATTAAAAACTATAGAATTACATTCAAACAAACCACTGGCTGGACAGACACCCTCTGGTAATTATCAGATTTCCTCATTTGAAAAAAGAAACAGGATGTGTTTGATGCATCGGTGCGGATCTCCTGGCGGTGCGGCGCGGCGCGTGATTGGTTGCTTTCAAACCACCTTCGATCCAATGGCGGTCGAGTGTTGTCTTTTGTTTATGGTACGCGTCACGAAAACGAACAAAATCCTTTGTGCGTACGTACGTACGTTTATCTTA